CCTGATGGGGAACCTGATGGGGAACCTGATGAGGAACCTGATGGGGAACTTGATGGGGAACCTGACGGGGAACCTGACGGGGAACCTGATGGGGAACCTGATGGGGAACCTGATGGGGAACCTGATGGGGAACCTGATGGGGAACCTGATGGGAACCTGATGGGGAATTTGATGGGGAACCTGATGGGGAACCTGATGGGGTGGGGAACCTGATGGGGAAGCTGATGGGGAACCTGGTGGGGAACCTTATGGGGAACATGATGGGGAACCTGATGGGGAACCTGATGGGGAACCTGATGGGAAAACTGATGGGGAACCTGATGGGGAACCTGATGGGAAAACTGATGGGGAACCTGATGGGAAAACTGATGGGGAACCTGATGGGAAAACTGATGGGGAACCTGATGGGGAACCTGATGGGGTGGGGAACCTGATGGGGAACCTGATGGGGAACCTGATGGGGAACCTGATGGGGAACCTGATGGGGGGAACCTGATGGGGGGAACCTGATGGGGAACCTGGTGGGGAACCTGATGGGGAACCTGATGGGGAACCTGATGGGGAACCTGATGGGGAACCTGATGGGAAAACTGATGGGGAACCTGATGGGGAACCTGATGGGAAAACTGATGGGGAACCTGATGGGAAAACTGATGGGGAACCTGATGGGAAAACTGATGGGGAACCTGATGGGAAAACTGATGGGGAACCTGATGGGGAACCTGATGGGGTGGGGAACCTGATGGGGAACCTGATGGGGAACCTGATGGGGAACCTGATGGGGAACCTGATGGGGAACCTGATGGGGAGGGAAAACTGATGGGGAACCTGATGGGGAACCTGATGGGGAACCTGATGGGGAACCTGATGGGAACCTGATGGGAAACCTGATGGGGAACCTGATGGGGAACCTGATGGGGAACCTGATGGGGTGGGGAACCTGATGGGAAACCTGATGGGGAGGGGAACCTGATGGGGAACCTGATGGGGAACCTGATGGGGAACCTGATGGGGAACCTGATGGGGAACCTGATGGGGAACCTGATGGGGAACCTGAAGGGGAACCTGATGGGGAACCTGATGGGGAACCTGATGGGGAACCTGATGGGGAACCTGATGGGGAACCTGATGGGAAGCCTGATGGGGAGCCTGATGGGGAGCCTGATGGGGAACCTGATGGGGAACCTGATGGGGAACCTGATGGGGAACCTGATGGGGAACCTGATGGGGAACCTGATGGGGAACCTGATGGGGAACCTGATGGGGAACCTGATGGGGAACCTGATGGGGAACCTGATGAGGAACCTGATGGGGAACTTGATGGGGAACCTGACGGGGAACCTGATGGGGAACCTGATGGGGAACCTGATGGGGAACCTGATGGGGAACCTGATGGGGAACCTGATGGGAACCTGATGGGGAATTTGATGGGGAACCTGATGGGGAACCTGATGGGGTGGGGAACCTGATGGGGAACCTGATGGGGAACCTGGTGGGGAACCTGATGAGGAACATGATGGGGAACCTGATGGGGAACCTGATGGGGAACCTGATGGGAAAACTGATGGGGAACCTGATGGGGAACCTGATGGGAAAACTGATGGGGAACCTGATGGGGAACCTGATGGGAAAACTGATGGGGAACCTGATGGGAAAACTGATGGGGAACCTGATGGGAAAACTGATGGGGAACCTGATGGGAAAACTGATGGGGAACCTGATGGGGAACCTGATGGGGTGGGGAACCTGATGGGGAACCTGATGGGGAACCTGATGGGGAACCTGATGGGGAACCTGATGGGGAGGGAAAACTGATGGGGAACCTGATGGGGAACCTGATGGGGAACCTGATGGGGAACCTGATGGGAACCTGATGGGAAACCTGATGGGAAACCTGATGGGGAACCTGATGGGGAACCTGATGGGGAACCTGATGGGGTGGGGAACCTGATGGGGAACCTGATGGGAAACCTGATGGGGAGGGGAACCTGATGGGGAACCTGATGGGGAACCTGATGGGGAACCTGATGGGGAACCTGATGGGGAACCTGATGGGGAACCTGAAGGGGAACCTGATGGGGAACCTGATGGGGAACCTGATGGGGAACCTGATGGGGAACCTGATGGGGAACCTGATGGGAAGCCTGATGGGGAACCTGATGGGGAGCCTGATGGGGAACCTGATGGGGAACCTGATGGGGAACCTGATGGGGAACCTGATGGGGAACCTGATGGGGAACCTGATGGGGAACCTGATGGGGAACCTGATGGGGAACCTGATGGGGAGCCTGATGGGGAACCTGATGGGGAACCTGATGGGGTGGGGAACCTGATGGGGAACCTGATGGGGTGGGGAGGGGAATCTGATGGGGAACCTGATGGGGAAACTGATGGGGAACCTGATGGGGAACCTGATGGGAAACCTGATGGGGAACCTGATGGGGAACCTGATGGGGAACCTGATGGGGAACCTGATGGGGTGGGAAACCTGATGGGGTGGGAAACCTGATGGGGAACCTGATGGGAAACCTGATGGGGAACCTGATGGGGAACCTGATGGGGAACCTGATGGGGTGCGAAACCTGATGGGGAACCTGATGGGGTGGGGAAACTGATGGGGAACCTGATGGGGAACCTGATGGGGAACCTGATGGGGAACCTGATGGGGAACCTGATGGGGAACCTGATGGGGAACCTGATGGGGAACCTGATGGGGAACCTGATGAGGAACCTGATGGGGAACCTGATGGGGAACCTGATGGGGAACCTGATGGGGGGAACCTGATGGGGGGAACCTGATGGGGGGAACCTGATGGGGGGAACCTGATGGGGGGAACCTGATGGGGGGAACCTGATGGGGGGAACCTGATGGGGGGAACCTGATGGGGGGAACCTGATGGGGGGAACCTGATGGGGGGAACCTGATGTGAGGAACCTGATGGGGGGAACCTGATGGGGGGAACCTGATGGGGGGAACCTGATGGGGGGAACCTGATGGGGGGAACCTGATGGGGGGAACCTGGTGTGGGGAACCTGATGGGGGGAACCTGATGGGGGGAACCTGATGGGGGGAACCTGATGGGGGGAGCCTGATGGGGGGAACCTGATGGGGGGAACCTGATGGGGGGAACCTGAACCTGATGGGGAAAACCTGATGGGGAAAACCTGATGGGGGGAACCTGATGGGGGGAACTTGATGGGGGGAACCTGATGGGGGGAACCTGATGGGGGGAACCTGATGGGGGGAACCTGATGGGGGGATCCTGATGGGGAGAGCCTGATGGGGGGAGCCTGATGGGGGGAACCTGATGGGGGGAACCTGATGGGGGGAACCTGATGGGGGGAACCTGATGGGGGGAACCTGATGGGGGGAACCTGATGGGGGGAACCTGATGGGGGGAACCTGATGGGGGGAACTTGATGGGGGGAACCTGATGGGGGGAACCTGATGGGGGGAACCTGATGGGGGGAACCTGATGGGGGGAACCTGATGGGGGGAACCTGATGGGGGGAACCTGATGGGGGGATCCTGATGGGGAGAGCCTGATGGGGGGAGCCTGATGGGGGGAACCTGATGGGGGGAACCTGATGGGGGGAACCTGATGGGGGGAACCTGATGGGGGGAACCTGATGGGGGGAACCTGATGGGGGGAACCTGATGGGGGGAACCTGATGGGGGGAACCTGATGGGGGGAACCTGATGGGGGGAACCTGATGGGGGGAACCTGATGGGGGGAACCTGATGGGGGGAACCTGATGGGGTGAACCTGATGGGGGGAACCTGATGGGGGGAACCTGATGGGGGGAACCTGATGGGGGAACCTGATGGGGGGAACCTGATGGGGGGGACCTGATGGGGGGAACCTGATGGGGGGAACCTGATGGGGGGAACCTGATGGGGGGAACCTGATGGGGGTAGAGATGAGCAAATGGCCCGGCCCGACCCGACCCGACCCGACCTGGCCGGGCCACACGGGCTCCCGGGTCGGGTCGGGTCGGGCCAGGCTCGGGCCAGGTTCCTGAAACTTCTGGCACGACCCGGGCTTACACACTCGGGTCAACTTGGACCCGGTCACGGGTCGGGTCGGGTCGGGCCAGGCTGACCCGCCCCTTTATAGAGGGCAGTGGTGTTTAGGGTCTGTAGTGGAACGCGAGTGTTTTTGTTCTAAGAAAGGGCGTGCAGCCTCTAAGGTGATATCGCACTAGTACAACGCGAAATCGTGACATACGCTATCCCAACAGCGCGATTTCCTAAAACTGCATATTAACGCCTTCATAGTAGCAAGATATGTCGGATAACATGCTTTCGTAGGCTGGAAACTAACTAATAACTTAGCTTAGGTGACATTAGTGGCTGAACTCTGGCGCCAAGGCGCGTGGGAAGGTTCTGATGTCGAGGGAAAAAAATCCCCTCGACATTAAATTTGTTTAGGGTTTCGTACACTGCAGAGTCAAAATCGGGTCGGGCCAAAAGCTTGACCCGATTTCCCTGGTCCTGACCCGAATTCGGGTCGGGTCAAGCCTGACCCGAAACCCAACCCGACTCGGCCCGAGTTCCATGCTCGGGTCGGGTTTTAGCCCGGGTCGGGTCGGGTCGGCCCGCACGGGCCAGGCAAATGAATCCACTGACCCGACCCGGGCTAAACCACGGGTCGGGTCGGGCCGGCCCGACCCGCGCGGGGCATATGCTCATCTCTAGAACGGAGAAAAGGATGGGGTAAGAATTAAGGGTAGAGTTTTTAAGCGAAGGGGTTCATTCTGTATCGGGTCCCAACTCATGTATAAAAACGTCGCTTAGAATTTCCGACTGCCACGCACGGTGCACCCATGGATTACACCCACATGCACCGCACTGCATGCATTCACACCTCCTCATGCGCTCGACGAAGCGAGCTCTCTCAGTGACGTCCACAGCGCCCCTGGCATTCAAGATGCACCCGTTCCCCCATGCGCCCATGCAAACCCATCCAAACCATACATGCACCGCACTGCATTCACACCTCCGCATGCGGCCGAAGAAGCGTGCCCTCTCAGTCACCCCAACAGCACCCCTGGCATCCAGAATGTTGAACGCATGGGACGTCTTGAGCACATGGTCGAAGCTGCAGAGGCATGGGAATTGTGTGAATGAGTGGACAAGGGGATGGGAAGGGGTGTTGCACAATGGGGTTGAGAGGGGGATAGACAGGGTGGTGGCATCGTGATAAGATAACCAACAGGATGTTGAGTGCGTGTGACGTCTTAAGCACATGGTCGAACCTGTGGGGGGGGATGGGTGTGCATGGGAAGGCAGGGGGCAGCATTAAGGGATATCTCTCTCGGTCACCCCCACAGCGCCCCTGGCACCCAGAATGTTGAACGCATGAGACGTCTTGAGCACATGGTCGAACCTGTTGCGGGGGGTGGGATGGGGGGTGCACGGGATGGGAAGGCAGGGGGCAGCATTGAGTGATAGCTCTCTCAGTCACCCCCACAGCGCCCATGGGGTCCAGAACGCATGAGACGTCTTGAGCACATGGTCGAAGCTGCAGAGGGGTATGTATGGGAATGGTGTGTATGCATGGGCAAATGACGAGTCGAGTTTTACTCGACTCGCTTTAACGGGATTTTTTTTGTCCAGCGAGTCGAGTCGAGTCGAGTCGAGTAAAACTCGTCGAGCTTTGTTTGGCTCAGGCACCACATGGACGAGTTGTTTTGAACTCGTGAGTTTCCCTGGAAAAACTCGAGCGAGACGAGCAAAACTCGACTCGAAGCATGTTTTTGAGAATTCTAAAAAAAACAGATCAGATCAGCTCGGAGAAATGCCACATCTCTGCAGATCTGGCACCGAAATGTTAGGTAATACAAAACGAAATTCAGTTCTGAACATTTGAACCCGCCTTCTGGTAGGCCAAATTTCTCGCGAGTTTGTCAAAACTTGCCAGGTTTGAAGTGCAGGTTTGAGGCGCAGGTTTGAGGTGCAGGTTTGAGGTGCAGGTTTGAGGTGCAGGTTTGAGGTGCAGGTTTGAGGTGCAGGTTTGACGTGCAGGTTTGACGTGCAGGTTTGACGTGCAGGTTTGACGTGCAGGTTTGACGTGCAGGTTTGAGGTGCAGGTTAGGTGCAACCGAAGCCCACCCAACCTCCCCCCCCCCCATTACTCACACAGGGATGGCCAGCTGCTTATCAATGAGAGCCTGTGCATCGGCGTCATAAAGGTCAAATCGCCGCTTCACCCTCTCCGTGTCAGCCTCCTGCATGTTAAAGCAGCATCCCCAAGCCCCTCAACTCTCACGCCCCTCAACTCTCACGCTCATCCCCACCCTTCCATACTCACGCAGGGATGGCGAGCTGCTTGTCAATCAAAGCCTGAGCCTCGGCGTCATAGAGATCAAAGCGCCGCTTGACCCTCTCCGTGTCCGCTTCAAGCATGTTGAAGCAGCTCATCTCCCTCTCGTTCTCCAGAAACAGCTCCCCGTAGGTCACTCCTGGGGCATAGGCGATGCGCTTGAAATGGTCCACGCCCTGAAGGGGGGGGTGGGGTTGGAAGGTGAGGGGTGGAAGGGATGACGAAGAAACGCTTGAGTTGAGCCCACATGTGATTCTGCTGACACTTGCAATCGCACTAGGCTTGCTGGTTGGCTTGGCTTGTGAGGATTCTGACACATGCTGATGGCGACACAAGCACATGGCACACGCTCCAGCTCATGATGCTGCTGCTCCAGCGCAAGTACATGATGCTGCTGCTCCAGCGCAAGTACATGATGCTGCTGCTCCAGCGCAAGTACATGATGCTGCTTAACTGCAGGCTCACTCAGCTCATGGTGCTGCGCTCCAGGCCTGATAAGCAATCCAGCATAGCATGCCATCCATCAGGCACGCACCTGCAGACTCAGGAAAAAGCAATCGAGGCCGTATGTGATTTCCTCTGACGACCCTCAACATGGGAAATCCGGCACGGTATGCTTGCCACCAACACATAGCTACAGACTCAGAATGACGCGCTGACCTGTAGGCTCGGCATGATAGGTAATCAGGCTCGGCATGCCACCAGACTCGTACCTGCAGGCTCATGATGATGCGCGCAAGGCCGTGTGTGATCTCCACTCCACTGCCACTGGCGATAGTGAATACTGGCAATGGGCCTCATGATGATACGCCCGTACCGTACCACCAGCATGCCACAAAGCACGTACCTGCAGGCTCATGATGATGCGTTCAAGGCCGTACGTGATCTCCACTGACACTGGCGATAGCGGCATGCCCCCTGCCTGCACGCAATGCAATGGCATGCACACATAATAAAATCATGCATGCAGCAGCACAACACACATGCACATGACAGCAAGCACGCGAGTGCAGGGTCGTGTGCAGCAGCAATAGGAAAGATTGCAGCAGAAAACGCTCACTGAAAGCAGCAAAGAAAGCAGGGTTGGAATGAAAGCGCAGTGGAATGAATGAGGTACAATGTGCTGCCATGCTTCCTGCTCCACTCAACTCTCTTCACCATGCCACCCCATCTCCCTGAGCCAACCCTCCTCTCTGCTGCAACAAGCACCTCTGTCTCCCCACCTCGCACCCATCCCAACCGCACCGCACCTGCTGGAAGTAGGTGAACTGGGTGATCTCCATGCCATCGAGCCACACCTCCCAGCCCAGCCCCCATGCGCCGAGCACGGGCGACTCCCAGTTGTCCTCCACACCCATTCCAACCGCTCTCTCTCCCCCCACCGACCCACCCCAACCGCACTGCACCGCACTGCACCTGCTGGAAGTAGGTGAACTGCGTGATCTCCATGCCGTCCAGCCACACCTCCCATCCGAGCCCCCATGCGCCGAGCACGGGCGACTCCCAGTTGTCCTCCACAAACCGCACGTCGTGCTGCTTGCTATCGATGCCCAGCGCTGCTAGACTGCCTAAGTACAGCTCCTGTGCATTGCCTGGGTCTGGCTTCAGGATGACCTGATGGTAAAGGGAGAGGGAAGAGGGGGGAGAAGGAGGGGCAGTGCGATTCGCGTGGGAACAAAACAGACCCAGGGTGTGGGGGAGAGGGGGGAGAAGGAGGGGCATGGGGGTGGGGGGGAGGAGGAAGAAGAGATCAGAGCCTCCATGCGCAGAGCACGGGCGAAGTTGACCTTCACGGGCGTTGCTAGACTGCCCACGTATAGCTCCTGGGCGTCGCCTGGGTCGGGTTTCAGGATGACCTGCGGGGTGAGAAACAGTGGGATTGTGGGATTGTCAAAGCGTCCCGAACTGGAACTGCGTGTGCCGCCCACCTGGAACTGCGTGTGCCGCCCACCTGGAACTGCGTGTGCCGCCCACCTGGAACTGCGTGTGCCGCCCACCTGGAACTGCGTGTGCCGCCCACCTGGAACTGCGTGTGCCGCCCACCTGGAACTGCGTGTGCCGCCCACCTGGAACTGCGTGTGCCGCCCACCTGGAACTGCGTGTGGCGCTGCACGCGATTCGGGTTATCCCCGAAGCGGCTGTCGTCGGGGCGCATGGAGGGCTCCACGTACGCCACTCGCCACGCCTCGGGACCCAGCACGCGCAGGAAGGTGGCGGGATTCATGGTGCCCGCGCCCACCTCCGTGCTGCTCGGCTGCAATACGGCGCAGCCAACCCCCGCCCAGTACTCCTGTCGTGGTAGGAGTGGTGGGGGAGATAAGGGGAATGAGGGATTGCGAGGAATGGCTCGGGGTCTCTCACTCAGAGCACGCGCAGGAAGGTGGCGGGATTCATGGTGCCCGCGCCCACCTCCGTGCTGCTCGGCTGTAGCACCGCGCACCCCACTCCCGCCCAGTACTCCTATCGGGGTGGGGAGTGGGAGGGTACCGGGGTGGTGGGGGGAAAGGAGGGCATTGTGAGTCGCCTCTCAGGGCACGCGCAGGGAAACGCGCATGGGGGGAATGAGGCCGTTGGGACGTGAGTCGGGTGCAACACGGAGCAGCATTCCTGTGAAACACGGATTCATCGCACGCGTGGTAACCCGATCACGTCAAAAAGTCACTAGATTGTGATCAGAGGTCGCGGCATTTAGCGAAACGGCGGTATCGTGCTCAATGCACACTAGACGCGGGCTACTCATAACACAATTCGGCACCCCATTGGTAACCCGGTTACACCTGGAGTCGCTGAATTGCGTCCTGAAACGTCAGCGTTCCGGCTTTAGGAGTCTTCCCGCTCTCCCCAGCCCCACTGCTCCGCAGCTGTTCCGCTTCCGCGCTGGTCCCATCCGCAGATACGCCCGCTGGCGCAGCTTCCGCCGATACAGATGTTGCAGCGAGCTCCGCGCGCGAAGAAAGGTAATGCGCGAGACGGGAAGAGCTTCCGCGAGCGTAGCTCGGCGGAAGCGTGAGCGGGCGGCCGCGGAGGGCGCTCGGGGGGAGCGCACGAAGGGAGCGGCGGAGGAAGCGCGGCGCTAACGGCTGGAGCGTTGGCGCGGCTAGTGACATTCGCGAGAGGATTCTCGACGCCATGTCGTCTACCTAGCGTCGATAACCTAGCCCTGCTAGCTCGCGAACCGCGTGATACCTAGAAGACACTACTCTGCAGCAGGGCTGGCGGGGGAACTGGCGTGTTCACCAAAACCCTAGCATAGCAAGAATTCTGAGGGTGCTTGGGTTAATCTCTATTGGGTTGCTGCGTTTTTAGCGATAAACAAGGTTATACCAGTTATTCTTCAGACAGTACAGACGAAGTTGGTCTGCTGATTTTGAGGCAGATCACATCACATGGCTAAATTAGAGCTCTCGGAAGTGTATGACATAAGAAACAGCTTTAATGATACATTAAGAGTTAGAAAAATCAAAAGGTATCGAATGGAGACATAAAAGTGAACTTGCCTTTAGAAACTTCTGATACAAATGTCATAAATGTAGCATACACGTAATTGTATCATGGATGTGTAACGTTCTCTGTTGTGAACTGTATGTATTACAGACTGTTACCCAGGCGCATGACCTCGCTGCAATCCCTCTGGTGACAATGAGCTCCATGATGTATGTCGCCGTGCTCGCAAGGTCGCGAGGCAGCCACGGTACCCCATGGCAGGCACACTTCATCGCCTCGAACACCACTGCTGCGTCAACGGCCGATCCGCACCGTCAATGAGCGTCCAAACGCGTCGATCAGACCGTTGTAAGTGCGCTGACCGATTCGGGCGGCAGCCGGATCTCCGCAGTTGCCTCTACTGCAGCCTCGACTTTCGGCAGCATCTGCGCCTGGCCGTAGCAGCGAATCAAGGTGTTCCACGTCACCAGTCGGGCTTGATCCCGTTCGTTGCCAGCTCATCCATAACCCATGCCACGTCAGCAAAGAGCTTGTTCTTTCCGTAAATATTCAGCACCGAATGGGCGAGTGCCACGTGGCCTGCCTTCCCGTACACGTCCAGCAGCGCGTTGTACGTGACACGTGTCGGTTTCAGCCCTGCCGCCCGCATTTCCGCGAAGATTCTCTCCGCTTCTTGGATGTACTGGGCGGCTGCTGACACTGTAGCTGCTGCCGCCACTGCTGGAACTGTAGCTGTCGTTTGTCGTGTAGTGGCTGGTACTGTGTCGGACAGAGTCACTATCGCTACTGTCACTGCTGCTATCCTCTGCTGCTGCTGCTGCTCCTGCTGCTGCTTCTGGCGCCAGGGATGCTGAAACTGCTGCTGCTGGTAAGGCACCCTGTGTTATCAACACTCCCTTCCCTCCCTCCTGTGTCACTACTGATCCTGCTCCTGCTTCTGCCCTGCTGCTCCTGCTGCTGGCCTAGCTATAGCCGTTGCAGCAGCTGTTACCGTTGCTGCTGCTGTTGCCGTCACTGTTCCCGCCCGTGTTCCTGTCACGGCAGCAGCAGTACAAGGCACATCCCCCGCATCCTCATTCACACACGCATCAGCAGCAGCGACGCCATGTGGTGGAAGCATCCGCCCTTGCGCGCGTACGCGGCGAGCACCACGCTGAATGTGACTATAGAGGGCGCCACGCCCGCATCGGCGCGCATCGAATGGAAGAGCGCGATCGCGTCGTTGAAGCGCCCCGCGCGCGAGAGCGGTGTCGGCGCGCAGCGGTCGGCGACTATGAGCGAAACAGATCGTCCGCTTCCTGCGCGGAGAGACAGAGGGATAGGGAGTGACGGGAAGCGCGCTCATCATGCGGTGTATACGTAGATGTCGAGCGCGCATCCGTCCGCCACGAGCGCGCGGAACAAATCGTCCGCCTCCTGCGCGCGGAGAGGGGGGGTGAAGGGTAGTGGAGGGAACGGAGGACAGCAGGGGGAGGGGGGAGGGGGAGCGAGAGCGCGATCATCATGCGGTGTACGCTTGAAATCCAAGAGACGCTCCTGGTCGCACCTTCAGTTGCAATCACATTCGGCAAATCCCCTCCCTCGTTACACTCACATTCGGGCGGTCGCATCGGCTCAGTATGCGCAGCACCGGCGACACCATCGGGTTCCCGCGCTCCCGCCACGCCTCTTCCCCCTCCGCGCAGCTCCCGCCGATCTTTCCGGCCCGCGCGCCCAGTGAAACACCGCAAGCGCATCCCGCCACCGCCCCTTGTTCCCCCAACCCCTTAGGAATCGCCATAATATCACTCGCGGATCCCCCCCGACGATTCCCCTTCCCCTTTCTCCGCAATTTCCCCGCTCTTTCCGCGGAGCTCCAGCGCGCGTCCGCCCTCGTCTCATCCGGGATCCACTCTCCCGAAGTTTCCCGCCTTCCCCTGTTGCTCTGCGCCTCCGCTTCCGCCGATGCGCTGAGCACTCGTTCCGCCTTCCCCCGCTCCCCGTCCGCGCCGAGCAGCAGCCGGCGGAACGCGCGCTGGCCGGCGGAGGAAATGCCCGAGATCCACGACTGCCCCAGCCGCCGCTCCTTCCTCAGACGCAACCTCCGCCGATGCCCCTCCTCCTCCTCCTCCTCGTCACTCAAACTCCCCTCATCTTCCGCCCGGGCTCCACCCTCCCCCCGCCGCTGCTCCGCCTGCCCGCTTTTGCGCCTCAGCGCTTTCAGCTCCGCCCACTGTCGCCACCCTTTTCTCCGCGGGTTGCGTCGGCGGAAGGCGCAAGGCGGAGCACGCTGGAAATCGCCCCCGCGGTCTGCGTGGTAACACGGGCGACCCTTCTCGCCCCTGCACCGGCATTCTGCGCGAAGACTGGCGACGAATTGCGAGTTGTCGCGCATTCCAGCCGATTCGTCGCATTGGGTCGCAGCAGCGACGGTTTGCGCAAGAGCGTCGCTATTCGAGCCACTCTGACGATCATGCGATCCAGGACTCAACGGCGAAACTGCCGCGAAGGCGCTGGCCCCCCGGACGCCGGCGAAAACGTGGGAACGGCGCGGCGGCGGTGGAGGAAGACTGGCTGTGTCGGCGATAAGAATGGGTGACTGTTAAATGCGGAGATAACGGCGACGCGGTACTAAGGTGTACGAGGCGTAACGGCGACGCGGCAGCTGCAGGCGGGAGTGAGTGGTTGAAGGGTGTATGGCGCGCGGTCGGAAGAGCGGAAATGGATGCGCAAAGGTGTGGCGGAATGGCGGCGCCTGGCGTGGGGAACGCCATTCTGCGGACTGACTGCACGCACCGTCGCCCACACTTGTGCCTTCAAATCGACTCAGAAGCAAGCAAGTTGACTCGAAGAGACCGATCGACTAAGAGACTCAACCGCATGCACCGTTTCCTACGCTGCTACTTAGCAAAGCCCCACGCTTCGACGTTGTGAAACGAGTAGTTTCGCAAGATCGTCAAGCACGACGGCTCATAGCTAATTCACCTCAAGAGAAAGCACGTAGAGATACGAAGATTGCTAGAGGTGAGGGGAGAGGGTTTGTGGGTGGGAGTGGTGAGTGAGAGGGGTGAGTGAGAGAAGGTCCCAAGGTGTGGAGGGATGCTGCAGGATTCATAATTTTGCGTGTGAGATGGATGATAACGGAATAGTCAACGAGTGGTTACCTCGCACAAACCAATTCTCGCGCAAGGGCGACGTCAGGTTGTACATTTCTCAACCTGACGTCGCCCCAAGAGATTCAGATTGGGGGGGATTCGGGCTGCAAGGCGATGCGGATGTGGCACTTTGATGGAGATTCTTCCCAGGAAGGATTCTCGCTATAGAGAGAGCCTTTTGCCCAGTCTGTTTACGAATATTTGGATTGACGACCATTGCTCCCAATTACTGTAGCACGCGAGAATCGTCGTCCAATCTGCACAATTCGCCGTGGTCGTCACGTTGCAAGGCAGCTTCATCCAGCGTCGCGGAGTTTCTGTGCAAAGGTTCCTAAGCACTTGTTGTGACGTCAAAGGGCAGAGATTGGCGGCGGAACTCCCAAAAGTTCGTCGCACAGCCTCGTTCGATCGTCGCCTTGTCATGTCACACCATGGTCCTGTCTGCCCAATGGATTTTGGGTCGCTGTCACTGGTTGGTCGGCAGCCAGAGTCCTAGTTTCAATGTGGTGATGTGTGGAGATTTTCCCATCCGCACGGTACACACGATGCCCGTTTGACTAACCCAAGGTTGCCTTGTGAAGAGGGCTTTTAAGTGATTCTGAGCTTTCGCAAATTTCGTCAACGTCGCACCTAGCAAAAGGGGGCTTATAAAAACTTTGTAACTCCCCGTTGACATTTTGACTTCGGTCTCTTCCGTGTGACTTCGGTTTCTGTGGTTCGTATTGGTTCATAACCACTGCAACTTGCTCGAGGAGCTTGTAATGTGGGTGCAACTGTCTGGTAAAAAAAACACAGGTGCAGACTTTCTATTTTAGCGAGGGCAAATTCACGCGCAGGGGTTGAGCATCTTGTGTACACAGCACCTGGATGTTATGCTGGGTGATGATACAGTATTGGCGCGGAAATGAATGATGATGACCTTCGGGTCGCCATTTGTTTTTCGCCAGACTGGGATACTCGCCGCAAACCAGTTCAGGGAGACTTCGAGGTCTGTTTGTGGGCAGCCTTAGTGAATTCGATTGCTCAACCTGACACACAAACAAGCAGAAACACGCATCCGGTTTTGGGGTGTTCTTGGGGATGGTTGGCGTAATATCAATTTCGGGAAACACATTCGCACTTTTTGAGGCATTCCGTTCATCAGCTCTTTCCACGGGCACAGCTCGAAAAATCCATCATCTGCAAATCCCAATTTGTGGGGGTGGGGACCACCGCTGACACTGTCCCGTCCCTTATTGGTGTGCTGTCCCAATCAGATCCTCTCGAGGGCAATGGCGATGGTGGTCGCTCGATGGTCGCCCGCCACCCGAAGTCCTGCTTGCAATGTGCTGATTTGGCGCTCTAATCCGTGCAGCACAGCCCTTTACTCCTGCCAGCGTGTCACTGCTGAGTGATAAGATTTTGGCGCGGAAATGAGCGATGCTTTTCGCTCAGGTCGCTCATTTGTCGTCAGCCCAGTCTCATCCCAACCCATCCCAAGGCAGCTTCCCACGACTTGCGGCAGTTTTGTGGGGATGGTTCCTTGGCGACGTTTGTGCTTGTGACGTCAACAGCGACACTTTCCGAGCCTCCTCTTTCCCTCGTTTTCGTCCACAATGAGGTACGCACTGAACATCACCGTCAGGCAACGCGCTTCGGATTTGTGGTTTGTGGGCAGTTGCAAGGAGCTTCGGAAAAATCGAAACTCAAAAGCTTCGCTTCCTAGAATCGCAATCAAGAAGTTTCAGTCTCACTGGAGGGATTGAAGTCCCCCAGTTGTTAGCTCTGATCCTGGTCCTGGTTTTAGAGTCTTGAAAATGAGGGAAACACATCCCATGCGATATTCTTATCCTGAAACCTTTTGACAGTCAACAACTGGTGGTGACCACCACACCCCACAAGGTTGCTGCAATTTGCCGCTCACCTGTACAGTTTTGGCTTTCGGACTGTTGTGCTATTCTGCTCCATTCTCCCCTTCCGTTAGGGTTTCTCACAGACCACGGACAGGAAAACGCCGCGAACTGAAGCGGCTCAAAATAAACCGCGAAGTAGAGCCGCTTACCGAGCCGCACAGCCACTCGGTTCTGGTGTTCAGGGTTCCGATCCAGGTGACGAACCGGCGTGACGTAGGTTCTCCCTCATCCAGAACCACCTCCATTTTTTGGCAAGAACTTTATCATACAGTGGCTTAGCATTCTAGAACTCTAGCCCACGATTTCTTGTGAACTACTTTCAAACGGATGACTCTGGAGTTCTGCAACCACCATTCGCCCCCAACGCCAATATTCAACCCGCTTCCATCCACGCCCCCGCCCCCCGCCCGGCCTACCTCTCAAACTCCAGAGGTAAACGTTGTTACGACAAAATTTCTTGACTTTTACAGCGTCATGTTTCCTGGATGTCCTTGTTGGACCGTGATCTAACTTATTTTTGTTGTGGCAGGCACAACGCCTTGGTGTTCCTACCCTCTGCTACTCAAGATCCACTTCGATTTACAATAGCCTTGGCAAGGACGCGATTTACAACAACCAATCTCTGATGCTCATGAAGATCCACGACTACTTCAGTCAATCACGAAGATCCACTACTTTGCTGGTCAACCCTGGAGATCCGCCACCGACCCCAACACCAACCTTCAACCGCTTTCATCCACACATCGCCCCCCGCCCTGCCTACCTCACGGTCTCCAGAGGTACGTTTGCTTTGAATGATTTTACAACACTTTTACTGTAGTTTTCTTTTTATGTCCTTGTTGAAACGCATTCTGACATCTTCTTTTGTTGTACCTTTGGCCTGCAGAATCAAAGACATTGACCTTCTGTAACCGTCCTTGGGAGCAGACACCGTCAAGGCATTCATGGTATCATTGACATCTCGTGGGCTTAACGATTTTGGAACTTCGAGTCCGGCGCTTCGGGCTTCCGATCCACCTCGCGACTAGGGTGGGCGTCCGCCTTCCATCTTCCAAGCCTCCAGCGTTTCGCCTGACCGGCGTTTCGCCACCAGCAGCAACTGGGAAGTCTCTTTCCCCTTGCTTCTTTCCCCTTGTCGTCCGTTTTCCGTTCATTTCGTCATTCTCGTTCCGCGCTATATCACGCCTCCTCCATTTCGCGTTTTTCCACCGTCCCTCTGATACGCTTGGCTGCAGTTTAGTAGATGTCCTCCGCGGGTTTGGGTAGCATAGTCCGGGTTGGGTAGATCAGCTCCTCCCTCTGCTAGCTGTAGCCTACGTATCATGGACGTCCATCCCATCCCATCCATCCCGTCACCTTCGTTTCCTTGTGTTGTTTTCGTGTCCGCTTTCGATTTCGTATTTCGTTTCCTCGTTTTTGTTTCGTTTGCTTTCCAATCTGCTAGTTTCTGTTTACTAACTTCGTGCACCCGTCTGTGCGTTCCTCCCCCCTGTTTTTCAGCAATCATGGCGTCTTCACTCAAGATGGCTTCGTCACTCAAGCTGCAAGGGAGTGGAGGGGAGCTGCAACACCGCAAGCTTCAACCATTTTGACCTTCAACAGTAAGCAATGTTATTCCTTCAATAACCTTTCTTATTTTCAGCCAAGTTTCATTCAATGAATGGATCCGTTTTATGCTTTGCGCTTTATGTTTTACTCATCGTGTTCATGTGTTTTACGTGCAGACAAAGAGCGTTGGAGCGGCGGACGCGGATCTCCCTTAAGCGGCAGACGCGGATCTCAGTTTGCGGCGGACGCGGAGTTCCTTTTGCGGCGGACGCGGATCTCCCTTGGGAGCGGCGGACGCGGATCGGCGCCCTTAGCAGCTGACGCAGACCTCCCTTAGCGGCGGACGCGGGAGCGGAGCTTCAACACTTTCTTCACTTGTAAGCAGTGTTAGTCATTTTCAGCCATGTTAGTCATTTTCAGCCATGTTAGTCATTTTCAGCCATGTTAGTCATTTTCAGCCATGTTAGTCATTTGCAATCCAATGATCCGTTTTATGTTTTACGTATTATAGTTTACTAATCCCATTTATGTTTTATGTGCAGACAAGGAGCTCGGAGGAAGACCCTCTTCGGCTCAGCGCCTTGGGAACGGCACAGGCGGATCAGTGCCTGAATGTTCAAAGTAAGCTTCTCTCTCTTTGTTGCCCCTTTGCTGCTTCTCTCTCTCTTTGTTCACTTTGCTATTGCATTTGTTTTCATTGCTTTCTCATCCTGATTCCTAACTCTGTTTTCATGGTTTTCTGCAGGGAATTGAAGTGCTGCCTCTAAGGGAGCTGCTGCAGTTGTCATCCGGTGCTGCTG